TAATGATCTCAGTACATGACACAGTATCTTTTTCTTTGTGAAGGAAGCATGAATTAGAACTAGTCTTGTTAAAACACATTAACTTAAAATGTATTAACCCATACATAGCCAAATCTTTTTGTCAATATTCATTTTCACACTTTATTTTGGCCCATGCTAGATGCACAGAACAGGAAAATCCAAAGAAGTCAATGCTGACATTAAAGGGCACCATCTAAAGCCACTCAGATAGTTAAAGAAACCCTTACATAACACAGCTTTAAACCACCTTGCACAGACTATGCAAAAAAGGTTCAAGCCAAAGGCAGCCTGCAAAGCAGTAATTGTAAAATCCACAGAAGTCAGTGGAAAAACATTAATAATACTCTATAAGAATACCAAGGCTTCACATTTACACTATTATTACCATCTTAATGTGGAAATTAGGCTAAGAACAATACAAGTTCTTAGAAATCAGTCTAATGTTTATGTCTCTGCGCATCCTTCCAGCACAGAGAATTCTTTATTAACACATACTTAATACTAATTGCTAATGGACTGTGTTCCTTTACTAACGAAGCAATCTTGGGAGACAGAACCTGCCCTCTTTCAAAACAAACAAACAGAGCAAGACTTTGACATTTTCCTTGACTCGATTGCCATGCCATGCCCCTTGTAGCTTGCCTCAATACACTTGGCATGCTCATGTAAAACTTTTTTGAAGTGTTTGAAAACACTTGCACAGTATTTGGATAGCAGCTTCAGACCCACATTTGCACTTGCTGCACAAGCAGTGCAGAGCAGAAACGAGTCAAAAATCTGTTGTGACTGCTTGCCACAATTTCAGTAACTGAACTCTGACTAGGGACTTGGGATTTATTCCAGAACCTGCCAAATCCGCAGGACCAAAAAATTCACAGTTTGACTCAAATATGTGGATAATTTTGCCGCTTTGGGTTGCACCTACAAATGGACAGAATTCTATCTTTCGGTGTAATGATACATTTCTAAAGCACAAAGGGGAACTCCTGAGGCATGTAAAGTGTGATAATTTCAATTAAATTCATGAAGATATGGGAATTTATGCCAAAGAGTTTGCCTATGCTGGCTCAAAATTTGCTGCTAAAGATGATATATATTTGCTAACCTAAGAATGCATTTTCCACTGTCCAGCTGCTAGTTAAGAAGATTAATGACTGCTTTGTAGTTCCAATTAAACTCCTTTATCACCAAGAGGGAGGAAACAAGTTTTGATTTCAAAAGTGCTGCTTAAGAAAGAAGACCAGGGCTGCATAACACTGACATTTTATTAGAATTCATTTGTAACAAATGGAACTTGTGTCAGCAAAGAACTGATTTTCATACAGACTTTCTTTCGCCACCAATGTAACGAAGTAAGAAAATAAAAAGCACGCCTTTCATTCTGTAAAACATTTACGCGTACTACTAATTAGAGGTAATTGTATCTTTTTTAACAAGCCATTTTACAAGGTAATTTTTTAAATTTTTCAGTCTATGCATCCAAAACAAGAGCAAAGAACACAATTTTTATTATCTTTGTAAAGACACTCCAAGCTTGAATGGCAAAGCCACATAACGGATGGTTATGATGAGACCTGCAGCCTTCTGATATCTGTGGAGTATCAGGGCACCAAGAAAAAAAAAAAGAAAAAAAAAGAAAATAAGGAAAAGAAAATAAGAAAAAAAAAAAATTAAAGAAAAATAGGAGAGAATAAAAGGAAATAAAAAAGTTGCTTTTTTTTTAGTCATTGCCAACTATTTTTTTCCTTTTTACATGGTATGTGTCATTTAAATAACACACAAGTGGATTAGCAGTTTCTTACAGATGGGTCCAAGTTATAATATTATTGGGTGTAGAATCAATAGGGCAGTGCATAGTACAAAGGTAGATATAGAAAGTGCAAATCTCCCTAGAGGGCCACTCCCTCCCCCAGCCATCCTCTCCACTATCTAACCACTCAGATAATTTTTTTTAAAAAAGAGCTAAATTAAACTTCTGTATAAATAATTTTTATATATTTTGTGGGTTTTTTCCCCATTGCAACTAATTACAAAATTAGACATAACTACACATACAAACATAAACAATAGCACCGTACTGGTTATGTTGATGAAACCAATTTTAAGCTTGGAAATGTATGATGTATGTAGACAAAGATGCTCACAATTTAAATTAACTGTAGAATGACTGTATGTAAGAATACAGAAAGTGGAATGCACATCAATGATGCTAACAGTTATCTTAAGAAACACAAAAACTAAAAGGAATATTTAGTTGTACAACAGTTTTCCTCACAAATTGGCTCTGCTTTTCTTTTTTTTTTTTTTGTTCCTTCACTTCCTTTGGAGCTTGTAAGACAGTCTGCTAGGGAGAATGCTCTGATAGTTTTATAGATCCAGTGTGCAACAATCTTCCCTAGTCTATGTTTCCAAAGTGATGCTTGTTTGATTATAGTGTTTTTCTGATCCTCTACATTTGAGTTGAAGAACATGACCACACCACATAACCTGGCACTTCAGTAATTATCTTAAAATACAAAACAAGAAAGACGAATAAAAAGAAACATAGTGCACATTCTTCTCTGGTTCAGATGTAAGTTATAGAATCTCATTCTGAGGTAGCCTTCTATTCCATATATATATATTTATATTTTTGTTTTGATTTTTTTTTGTGTTTTTTTTTCTTTTCTTTACAAAAGTGCTCAAATACAATGCTTGCTAGAGTTTGGTCTTTCATAGTTTTCTTTCTGCTAGTAGTGGGAAAAGTGGAAGAAGAATAAAAAAAGTTGAGGTCACATTGATGAGTCATACCAATGCTCCTATTTGAAACCCCAAAGAAAGAATTCCTTTGATACTCATGTACTGACAATGGCATGATGGAAACCAGGGTCAATGTAAATGGCATCCTATTAAGAGTCTCAAAAAGTACTTTGTGCTGTTCACAGAATTTTCTTTGTTCCCGGGAAGAAAGTCTAGTGTCACTCTCAAATATATCCTGTGGGGTCAGTCTTGCCAGCCTTACGTGAACCCTCCCACTGAAAGCAATGGTTTGACCTTAGCACTCTATTGACACAATTGAATGACCAGGACTTGGCCCAAAATAAATAAGAAAGATGCATGAGCACTGCTAATGTCAACTGCTGCTAGTGTACTGCTACATTTCTGCAATGACAACACTATAACCAGTGTCACAGTGGGTTTGAAAAGCCAACGAGAAATAAATTTTTAATTTGTGGGCTGGTATGTTATTGGAAATATGGAAAGATAAAGGGCCTTGACTACCTACATGTTTTGGGTTATCATTTATTACCATTCATACTTGATTAGAAACTGGAAATGCATATTTTTCAAAATTGTCTGATACATGTATTAAAATGTTTGAAAAGAATAACAGAGATATGAACAAACTGAACTAAATACAAATGAAGGCTAACTTAAAGAAATGCTATTCAAAATAGGCATCAAATATAAGGCACTCTAAATGTAAAATTAAAATAAAACCCAGCATCCCCAAACAATGCTGTATGCCACAAAACGATTGATTTCACAGAGCAATGTGTGTTTGGCTTTGCCCTGTTACATACGATAAATGTAAATTATATAGCGCACACTATAGACAGTATACTATTGAATACAATTTTAAAACATCTTAATACCTAGTATATTACAACATTCTCCCCGCCTAAAGGGATATGCACTGACCTTTCCCACATGCACACCTCCTACATTTAATAATATGATTTCTTATTGCACTATAGTGTTACAAATATTGAACTTCACTGGAAGCCTAAATCACATACTCTGTGCATGTGTGTGTGTGCATGTGTGTGTGTTCAAGTGGCAATGTGGATAGAAATATTATTTGGGATAGAAATGATGTTCAAATATCAATGATGTGCATTCCTCACTTCCCTTTGAAACAGAAGTTTATGGACCTTGGAAATGCAGAGATGACCAAATAGTAGTTTAATGTAATTGTAGTATGCTGAAAAACTCCCAATGCTTTGATAAATCCAGATATGGAAGAATTGACATGTTTATGTGTATGTGTGTGAATATCTACCTTTCTGTATCTCTGTAACTATACAGAGAGTTAGACAAGGGTAGACAGTAATACATACATATATATATAGAGAGAGAGAGGGTGTGGGTGTGTATGTGCATATGTGTGCATGCGTGTGTGTGTTAGCAGCATCTTTATACTTTGCGCCTCCCTGTTGATTCCAAAACAAACCAAAAAGCCCCGTTCTGATTTAACTGATTACAATGAATATTTTCTTAAAGAAAAATAAACCAAACAAAACTGTAAGAGTAATACCTACCAAGACTGTGGTACTGTAGATAAATATAGGACTGCACAAAAATGTGCAAATTTTCAAATTATTTAACATTTCTACAGCACAATATTACAGATAACAGTTCTACAGCTTAAAAAAAATCTAGTTTTTAAACAAAAAGATTAACAGTTATGCAACCTTTTTCTTTAATTCACTTCAATGAATGATAAACTTTTGTTAAAAAAAGGAAAAAGTTTACACAGTTAAAAATGAAGCACAGGTCAGCAGTATCTTTACAATACTAAAAAACTAAATCAAGGACTTCCTTTTTAATCATTCCCACGTTTTCCCTAAAGTGTTATGATGGGCATTATGATGGGAAGGGGTGATGTTGAAGTAAAGAGTCCGCTTTGTTTGAGAAGCCAGGACCCAATCTTTTAGCAAACATCTTGCACTGAACTGCAGTTCTCTCAAAATTCCTCTTTGCAAAAGTATGTAATCCTGAACAAGATGATCGTTCTTTCTGATTAATTTCCTCTTCCCTTTCACTTCAACCAATGTCGAACCCTTGAGGTATCTGTAAATGAGATCCTTCAGACGCCTCAGTGGTCAGGATTCTTTTATTATGGTTAGGTTATTAAACTGTGAATTCTTGGTCCACATGGAATAGGGTTTCTTGTTGTTGTTTTGTTTTACATATCCCCATTATTTTTGTTTGTTTGTTTTTTTATTTTATATATCCCCAATAATCGCTCCTTAGCTAAGAGTTTAGAAGTACTTCTAAAGCACATCGTATGGCTCAGAAGCGGCTCTCCGGATCTTAAAGGGCCTGCAATAAAAATCCACGATGGTTTTTATGTTGCATAGTGATCAAAGCTGCCCAGATATTCCAGTGCGGCTCGATAGCAGAATTGGTATTGATCCTGGAGAAAGATAGAAAACAAAAGCATCAAAAAGCCAGCTTGTTTGTTGGTTTCTACTTTCTTTCAACTAAGAGTGAATACTTTTTGGCTACAGACAAATATACCACAGAGGCATCTGCAGTTCAGCAATATTCTTTTGCTGACATCAACAGAAATATAGTCTGAGATACAACAGATGAAGATAGGCACTCATTTAACGCAACAACATTTCCCACAGAATGCAGCTTCTTTTTGTGCAGAGACTATATACCCACCTACTGATCATTTGTTATTCTGAATTAATACATCAGCATAAAGCTTTCTTCTTACAGGAAAATACCAAGATGCTTTTTCCCTGTTTATTTGAAAATAAATAGCAAAATATCCAATTAAGTCTACAGTAAATACAACACACTAAATGATGGAAAACCACTAGCTTAAAAATCATATTAAGGAAGCAAAGGGAATCCCATCTTTTGAGTAATATAGGCTTTGATGAAGATGTGAAGATACCTCAGCCTGTGGCAAGAAAAAGGCCTAAGGGAGAAATATGCAGCTAAAGCATCTTATTAACATGAAACAGATCACATTTCAACCTACACCTGGAAGCAGAGAAAAGTTCAGTGTGGTGAGAGATTTGCTTATAGCTTTGGTAAATCCTTCATTTGGTATTCCATATTATTCTCACCCCCACCCAGCAGTTCTTTTGCACATTTATGTAATATTGTACATTTGTACTAAAATGGCTAAATGTACTAAAATGTTGAAAAATTAAAAAAAAAAAATAGAAATTGCTTCTGAAAGCCATCTAAAATATCAAGGTCTGCTTATTTATCTGATATTGCTATGTGGTAACCCCACACAGGTTATAGTTGTTAAGATCACAATAAAAATTCTTTTGGAGACCAGGAAACTCATCATATATTTGCCTCAAGGTAGTGGTATGATCACTAATAGTTCTTTTCTGCTTCCTTTTGGAACAGTGGGAGAATGCATTAGACACATGCGTAAATTTTAAGTGTATGTGTGGTCCACATGAAGTTAATGTGTGTTGTTGAATAAGGATTAGATTTCCTGGCAGTTTATACTACCAAATGAGATTTGTTTTCCACAGAATCCTGAAAGAAATGAGTACACAACACTTCAACTTCCAGCTGGGTGGGGCTGAAGGGTAGCATACAGAAACAAGTAAAAGTAGGAGGAGGGAGAATATATTGCATAGCTGAATTCTATATTTGTCAGAGAGGCTCCAAGAAGCATAGTTTTTCTATATACTGTAGTTACTTCTTGGAACCAAAATGATAGAAAGCAGTCATTTTTCATTTTGCTTATGCAGAAGAATGATGGTAATGGAAAAGAAATGGAATTAACTCTTCAGTTTGGTCACAGTGATTTACCTGGCTAACTGACAAGGTTGAAAATAAGTATGTTTCATATAAGTTTTTATGAAGTTGTCTTCTTAAAAATAAGACTACCCAGCTTTTACTGTACAAGTTCAATTTTCTTGTGGAAAATAGCAAACTATGGGGAACCATTTTAGATTTCACAGACTGTAATTTAAAGGCCAGTGTCAATCAAATTATACTAAATAAATGTATGACCTAAAATGTTTCCCTTCTCTTGCCCTTTTGCTTGGTTCTCCTAACCTATTGGCTCTGGCTTAGTTCAAGTCTCCTGTTCAGAAATTTAAGTAGAAATTAAGCACAACTGAAAATGTTTAAGTATTCTTTCTGACATGACCCAGTTCCAAGAATCCAGGCCCAGGAAATCAGTTGATACTGTTTATCCCTTATTTCTCTGTGGCACTCTAGCTAGCACAAAAAATATTTTCACTATAGTTTTCCTGAAGGCTGAATTTACTACTATGATTTTCAGGCCAAACAGACACTTGCTTGGTGACACAAAGTCAAGAAAAACATTAAAATAATACAGTGTCAATCTGAAGCCATGAACAACACTTTGCTCCTGGAACAAAAAAGTCAGTGGATCCACCTGCAGAGACAACTTGCCTCCTTCTTTATTGCCACACATTTCTGCTAGGAAACAAAGTTTCAATTAAAAATGGGTAATGCTTCTTGGAAAACAGTTTTTCTCAACTACCATAATTTATGATCCACTACTGAAATAAATTTTTTTCTTCCCAGCCTGCAGTATCTACTGCTGTAACAGGAAATAGTCCCTGCAGTACCTTTATGGCAAAGTTTGCAGTACAGTCATATACTCACTATAAGAATTAAGATACAAATGTAAGCGCATTTTATATAGTCTCTATCTGTGCATTTTTTGGCTGTGGAAATACCCCTTCTTTCCCATCACCATTGTACACAGATACTGTTTTGCTCACCTCTGTCTGTACCATGGCTGGCCGCTGCGTCCTTAACATTTTGACAGTCTGGAAGATATCTACAACACCTTCATATCTCATTCTTTCTAACACAATGCTCAGGGTTATGAATACTCCAGTTCTTCCAACACCCGCGCTGTTGCAATAAAAGGAAAAAAAAGAAAAAAGGAATGTTAATTGACAGTTAATGCTGAAAGAATTGGCTGACAAATTATCTGTGGTTACAACACACCATGTGTGGACAGATTTGTATATGGGGAAAGGCTCACTAAGCAAAATTCCACAGCAAAATACCACATTGCATTCGGAAGAATAACTGATCTCAAGCAAACTTCACATGCTACTAAGTACTTCTTGACTCTCCAGCCTTCACTGCGAAGTGACTTGGTTTGTTCATCCAGATACAGTAATCAGTGCATGGTGAAGGAAAATGAGAATGTTTGATGCCAATGACCTATGCTGGAATTGACAAGAGAAAAACATGCCAAAAATGTATTTTACTGCTTTACTTATAACTTATTCATGTATATGCCTCATTTTGCACATTTTCAGTGTGTTAGTTTATCTTCTACTTTGAGTTAGAGATAGTCGGTGGATTTTCAATTAATATTGAAATTGTTCATGCACACTACAATTTAAGTAACGAATACACAAAAACCTTAAGACACAGCTTTTATTCAAGTCTGGCAGTCTGCATCTTCAGCTTTTGAATACTGATACTTGTACACCATGCCTCTCTATATTAGTCTGAAATGTCATCTTTGAATATACAGCTTGGTTGCTCTCTGTTCTGTCAGGTTTCTGTTATTAGCTAAAACACCCAAGAAGTGATAGAAATCCCTTCAATCAATAGAGCCAATAGTTGTCAGTTATTAAAAATAAACAATCACTTATTCATGAGGATGAACTTGGACTCTTGGACAAAGAGATAGGTAACTACACAGAAAAAAAATATTCTCCAAGTCTGAACTTTTATGGGTGGAGATTAAGCACCCCATCATCTCACTGTTGATGTTAATAATTCCACCAGGTTTTCTCCAGTCAGATAGAACTGGGAAATTGGAGATTGACGAGACCTATTCACCAGACAGGAGAGTGGAAGAACATGAACAGCAGGGAAAGACTGAAGAACTCTGAACGTTGATACTGACTATGACAGAGATCCAGTGAACTCATGAGACTAGTGCAGAAATCAAATGTCCAAATTTTATGATGGTATTTTAGTGTTTGGTCTAGATCAGTGCACTTCTAGGGCTATAAAATATATGCAATTTGACTTAGCAATTTTGTATAACCTGTGTGCCTTCAAAGACCTGAAGACAAAGGACAATTGAGACACAGCTTGACAAAATATCATGCTCTCAGTGCTCATTTACCTATATATGATGACAATGGTCCTGGACATATAGAGCAACTGGAATGTTAAGGTCTCCTTTCTATGATGAGGTAAATCAGAAAGCTAATGTTTAAGAAACATACTGAAAAAAATCCTCAAAAAAAAGTGTTGGAACCTGCTTGGTCTTTACAGAGTTGACTACAGTGTGATCTAAACCAAGCAGCCCCGAAAGTGACCAGCAGAGTGAAGGCAGATTGCCATTTTTCATTCTCCTTGCTCCTGCTCAACCATTTAAAGACATCCAACAAAAAAGTATGATTTTCTAAATACATGGGAGAACTTCTAGACTCACACATTAGTCAGATCTTTATTAATTAAAAAAAAACCTCCTCAGAGCTCTTTAACTGAGCAAAAAGAGGGAATTAATTTGTTGTATTATGTTCTTAAGAAATGAAAAGTATCTGGAGCTACTTAATAAGAAAGACAGACTAACATGGAAAGATCTCAATGCTTGCAATTCTTAACTAGCCATCAAGTGTAATATTTTGGCAAAGTCTAGAGGAAACTGACCCTGCTCCCCTGAAAGTGGCAAGCATACTTTAGCATTCTATCAATTCCTATTAGAGGATGCTTGGGATTTCTAAAGAGTGACTGAAGTCCACATCAATACCAGTAGCATTTTAATGATCAGCTGATACCATGACATTTAACGAAGCAATGCAACATAGGTTTTAGAGAATCCTGAACTTAGGAAATGGTAAGGACACTACTTCATGATGTGCTATGATTCACCAAATTTTAAACAGTTAGAAACCAAAGTTAGGGTGCTTTAATGACCCATGAAGAAATATTGGTGTTTTTGTGAGAGAGAAGAGTTTGTTGTTAAAAATACATCTTGAATGCATTCTGGGAAAGGGTGGTCTTCTTTACTGTCCAGCTAAAAGCTAGAATAAGAAGACTATAAATACCTAAAATTGGTTGAGGTGAAAATTTTGCTTCAAGGTGAATCTTCACTTCTTTTAACTATTTTTTAATTAACTGCCTGATCATGTTAGAATTTTTAAATTGTAACACACTGATCTATTTATAAAAAAGCCAGAGAAGGAGAACATTTTAAAATTGTGGGTGGCAGGGGTTTACCGTGCAACAGAGAAAGCAAACTTGTGAAAAATGTGTAGAGTAGGAAGGAAACCACAGGGATGTGGTACTTGGGGAGTTTGTCATTTGAAGAATTTCTCTGCACAAGAGAAATCTTTAAAAACTCATCATGGTACAAACTGGAGGCGTTATCACAATAATTCCACAAAGACTAGGGGAGTGCAGGTACCCAGGATCTTGTGCTTCCTGAAAGAAACAAATAAACTTACTAATTTGCTAGCGACATTTCCTATTCTTGTAAATTGACCAACCATTACCAAGCATTACCAATCTCTACATTGTCATTACAATGATGATGAGACATTTAAAGACCAAACCATGATGAATTATACTCGATTTGACTTTGCTCCTACTAAAGCAAAGTCTAGTCTGGTAGAAATCTCCATAGTTTCAGCATGAAAGATCACACCCATTTGGTGCAAGCAGTATTTCATTGCAGTCACAAGTGGACAAGTTTGCATGGTACAAAGAACTTAGAAGAATACCATCACTTTGCTTTCTTATGTATGTCTGCATAAAGGCATAAATATTGCTTATTACTCCTCTGCTCTCAAAACTCATTAATGTCAGGAAGCACAAGGCTTATTTTTATCATGGTTGTCCTTCATTTTCCCTTGCCAAATGAATCCTAAGCACTGCTCTGCAGTGCTGTTCTCCTTAGCACGCCACAAAAAGTTGTAGGCACACAAAAATGTAGGATTCAAGTGGTCTGATACATTTATTTTGTTGGTCTTTCAGATTAGGGGAGAAAAAAGAACTCTGTTAAAACACAGTGGTATTTTAACAACTTCTGGTTGCTCCTGGCTTTGGAAGGACAAAAATCTCTCTTTCAGTACAGTCTTATGCTCTAACTTGCTTATTTTGTCTTCATGCTAGTATTGGGGCATTATTGTCTTGTAGGAAGGACTTGGAACCTGTATCAGTATTTTGCATCTCTGTTATATAAATAATAACATTTAATCTACCAAAAAATAATTTAATGTTGCAAAAATGAGTATCTAAAATCCTAATGGAATTTATAGAAAACAATTTATTAAATAAGAGATAAAAGATAAAGATATTATTTCTGGCCATCTGCTATAGACTCTAGAATACTGTAGAGAAAATAAATAAAAAATCCAAGAATATTAAAAAAGCCCACCCTGGATTATTCCTACACACCCTGCAAGCTGTTTTCATCTTCATATCAATTGTAAAGAAATTGAGGGAAGTCATCACATCAAAAAATGGGCATTACATACTGAAGTTAGAACTCACCAGTCCAAACCTCAGTGATTTTTTGGCAAAGTTTCTAAACATTGCGCTCTATTCCATTTCCTTTCTTGAGATAGCTACCATTTTTACTTTTGTCATCTTTATTACTACTAATGTGCTACTGAGGTGTAACTAGCTTGTTTACAGCTAATAATTCCTACCAACATAACAGCTTCACTTTTAGTTACCAGTGGAAAAAAAATCAGATATAGCAGCCTGTGATAAGGTTCTTCCTACTGCTTTCTTTGTAGCATTGTCCAGATTGTTTTTACCCTGCATTAGAGACATTTTTAAGTGAAGAAAAAAATCACATGTCTCCACGTATTTCAGAAGAAACTTTTCTGTGTCAACTGGATATCACAGAACAGTTCCCATTTTGTAAAGCAGTCCTATGTGTTACTTTTTAGATCTTCTATTTGATTACGTTTTCTGATAGTTCACCTGAAATTCCATTTACATATATACCTTCGCTCCAATCATCAATCAACTTTAGAAAAAAACAAATCTGCATATGAGTTGTTTTGAGGCTTTGCTTACTTACCTGCAATGAACAGAAATTGGTCCATCCTGACCAAACTGCTCTTTTGTTTTATGCACTTGGCCTATGAAGTCAATAAATCCTTCTCCAGACTTTGGCACTCCTTGTTCTGGCCAGTCAGTGAACTGGAACTGCCTCACTGTTCGGGACTGGCCATCCTTTAACAAAAGACACAAAGAATGTATCCCAAAAGCACGTTCCAGCAGCTGGAAGTCAGTCAGCCAACAACCAGAGAGACAATCACAAAACAAGGACGTTGAGAAGAGGTGGGCTAAGATCACATTTATGAAGACCCTTTCAATCGCAGTACTGGCTACTGCTCTTGGACACACTGGCCCAGAAGTGCAGTTTCATTAATAACATTGCATAGATTCCCTTCTGCACTGGATAGAAGAGTTGCCTGACATTCTGCCTGTGTAAAAAGCATGTCTGAGGCTAAAGACATAACAATCTCACCAGGTTATACAATTTTTGGTAAGTTATGTTTTGAATCTTGTGGACTGTAAATTCCTTTATATATAGAACAGGTAGAATAAGGCCATCCAATCTGACTCTTCATTTCATAGATACACTCTCTACTGCATGGCAGGAATATCTTCACTGGTAAGAGTCGTTTAGTCATTGCCCTTTTTGCAGACGATATCTTTAATAGAATAGTGCTTTCTATGAGGTGGACGTTTCCCTGGAAGAAGGTGGGTCAAGACAAGCCATTTGTTTAACAAACCATAAACTCCTTTCAGTCATTGAAATTTCATTTACTAATAGCTTGGACTCAGTCAAAAGTTGAGGTGATTTCCTCTCTCAAAACTATTTGGCTGAAGCTGTTCATTGCCTTTGGTTAGGAATACTAACAGGATTGTGTCAAACTGCAGAATACCACAGTGGTTATTTTTAGCCACTGGAACTATTAAACGCCAGCTTCTGCTCTCTGCCTATTTAATGTGTAAACGGTTAGGACACATAAATAGAAAAAATACAATAAAAGTGGATGAAGTAAATTTGTTCTGAATTTTCAAACGTTGGTCTTAATGATTTTGACACTGCCAATCTGCACAGCCAAAAGGTTTAAAAACATGGGCATAAAAGCACGGGTACATGAGCTACTGATGTAAACTAGTGCCTCTGGACATGTTGTTTCCTAAGCACCCACCATGCCATGTCTTCAAAATAGTCTTCTACTAAGTGAAACTCATGAAAAACGGACATGATTATAGGAGATTCCCCCCAAAAGCAACAAGTTATGCTGGAGGGCAAGAACAATCTTTTTTTTTCTTTTTCTTTTCTTTTTTTCCCTCTACCACAAGCACTCAGCTATTACAGACCTTTGAAATGAAATAAAATAGAAGTGACTTTTAAAATAACCAAAGGAAAAACCAAAAGTGACTTTTAAAATAACCAAAGGAAAAAACAATACTTTGCTTTTATGTTTCCTCTGATACTGTGGGTTTTTGCCTCCCATGTCTTAGATGAGTACAGAAAACAGAAGAAGGGGATGTGTGCTAGCTACTGCTCCATGAGAGGACACTCATACACTTCATTGGCTTACTATCTCCACTAGACCACTGTGACAATTTCGTAGTCTATTTCTGTGGAATGTTTTCGCCCACTTAAAAAAAGTAAATCTATTTGAAAACATTTACCCTGTTTTATTTCTAAATATTTCCTACCACAATGGCATGATGTTAATACAGACTTCTCTCATAATGGTCTCTGTGATCCCATTTTCCGCCAAGAAGACATAATGAAATTGCATCCTTCAGATAGCCTTAGGCACATGAGATTAATTAATCAAGAAGAGAAAATAATAGGCTGATTCCCTTCAAAATAACCTCCCATTCTTCTACATTAAGGGGATAAAACCTTAAGTCTGACTCGCATCATGTTGGTTAAGGAGTTGGAAGTTCTTCAGCAACTTGTGACGTTGATAGGAATTACACTAGAATAACAGTAACTTTTTAGGGGTAGAAAAGATACAAAAGACGATGCTTTACTTAAGTCTAGGCTGTCATTGGAAAACCCACAAACTTCTATGTGCAAAATAGATTTGATGGTACATATTTGTTTTCTAAGTGCATCTAAATAAGCTGTACTGGTATATTTCATGACTGCAATAACTCAATAATCCAGTGGAATTCTGTGAAAACTTCTTATTTAGTTTTAATGGCAGTAGCTTCTGTTATTTAATGCTATTTAATGAGCATAGAAGTCAAATTAGTTAGTCTGATCTTAGACTACCATTAAAGCATATTGGGAACTGATCTGCAATTTCTTACACAGTTCCCTCTGCTACTGACATTAAAAGTAGTGCTGCTTTCTTTTAATGAGGTGCTTGCCAATAGCAGTCCAAATACAAATGCCAAATTTTATTAAAGTCTTTACTTTCAAATATTGTGACAGTTTGCACAGTTAGTTATCAAAATACGAACTTTCAGATCCCTATGTGGAGCAGAGGGCTTTTAATGTATCATCCTATTGATTGGCTGACCGTTTGGATTTCTTCTTGCTCCTCACAGGGGATATTCAATTGTCTTTTGATAAGGCTGTAGAATTTATAATACTCGCTTACAGCCATCACTAATAGTTTAGCCTTAAATGAGACTGCCCCAACACACTGACCTCTGGAGTTTACAGAGAAAGTGAGTATAAAGCAGTCAGAAGCAGTAGATTGAAAGAGTTACTGAGATCAATTTCACCTTACAACAATTCACAGCTCAGTTTCAGAAGTAACAGGGAGTTCCACACCAGACACTTGCTGCTGACACCTACAAAGGCAGTGTGTGTGTCTTTTCTTGTCCCTGGGGAATAATTGGCTGGCTTGGCTCTGCCAGAGCATGGATGGTGTTCTAACATTATGGATGGGTTTGGAGATAGGAGGGAGAGAAGCTGGTTACAACCACTGCAGCATTTACTCTGCTTTGGATACAAGAATTTAGTTAGATGATCTCAATTACTGTGGGTGTGACAGCCACAAAAACCTAACTACAGGAAAACTATAATGTACATTTTAGTAAGTAGTACCCACTGCTTCCAGTAAATTTGGAAGGAGCTATAGTTTCCCAGCACATCTAGAAAATTTAAGATGGCCCTGTGAGCTTCCCAGTCCATTGTTCAACAAAATTAGGACCGTCACGGTAAAGAGATTTTTAAAATATGAGAAGAAATGACATGTGATGGTAAAATGTCACAACGGGACTGCCAAGGTGCATGTATGCTTGGCACTGTTTAAAACAGGTGTATTAATATCAGGTCCAATAAAACTACGTCTGGCAAATTGAGTTATTCGACCCTTTCAGACTTTTATTGTTTTTCAGCTATAAGTAAACAGACTTTCATAAATATCCTCGTTCATTATAAACTCTTGAAAGAACTTTTTGGAAATATATACTGTTTTCAGACACTTCACTTCAACTACACCTGTGGCTTTTTGTTGTCTTTGTTATTTTGTGATCTGAGCTTGGTGAACTATGTCACATAAGACCTCTTCCAGCTTGAGATGGAAGAGATCTTTAATAGATGATCTATGAAAACCATCAGCACAGTTGTGGTGAAATTGGCTTTGACTGTCTATGCTTATAAGTGTGGTTAAAGATTGAAGTTACGAGCCTGTTCTCCAATTTATTAAGCACAAATATGTTAAAGAAGCTATGAGTCATGTGATCCTTACTGGATTTCAAACAGAATGAAAATCAGATCCAATGCATCTACAGTTTCTTTTCAAAAACAAATTAAGATGTTCATATGCTGACTTGGTTAGTGACGACACTGTCTAGCTTATTGTCAGTAGTACCTAATTTTACTTGAAGCGAACATTAAAAGCAGCGGTCTAGCTAACTATGAGGAAGTCTAATATTTTGGATGTTGACTGGCAACTCTGAGTAATCACTCATGTTAATCCCAAACAGTACATCCTGCTCTTTTGCCTGAACAAATAGTATTCTACAGTGCTTACAGAAATGGAGGCTGTCAGTAATTTTTCCTGCCATGCAGACTAAAATGCTAGAAATTAAGAGTCTGAGAAATGCCACATATGTATTTAAAGTTTATGTGCATTTAATCTTATATCGGTGCTCAGTTGTGGACTCAGGAATTCAGGTAAGAAATGCAGTATGAAAATGAGGATGCTAGGGTCACAGCTGCATGTATCTACTCTGCAGATATACAAGAGTGCTGAAAATATGCTATGCCAAAAATCAAATTATAATGTGCAAAGCTTGTCAAGCTTTTCTTATGAATGCTATTTGCTTTGCAGTTTTTAAATCTCAATGTATTAACCTTCATACTCAGTCAGCCTAAAGCGTGGCGCAAAACAACACATTTAAAGCTGTAAGTGACAAAAATTGCCCCCAAAAATGAGGGGAAATTTCCCCCAAAAAAGGGGGAAATGAGGAAAAAAGGGAGAATGGTCCTCAATCATCGAATGTATCGTGGCACAAATAGTTATTCAGAACTTCACAAAGTTGTGCTGCCCAGATGTTAGATCTGAATGAAGTCAATTGTTCTTACACAAAGATCCCATTCATTTAATAATAACTTTATCTGCTTTTCATGTATTGCTTGTAGAAAGTACACCTCTAGGGTTTTTCTAATAATAATACAAATAATACAAATCTAAAAAAAGGGAACATAAATTGACATTTTCTTTTAAACTTATGTTAACTAGTGTAATGCTATGTTAACTTACCCTTGCATCTGTAACCTTGAATTCCCTCAGAATATACTGTGGCATGTTGTACTCTGCCATTGGATCTACCACAAAATACTGGTATCTGGCTGAGCGCTCTGCAGGCCAGTACTGGTGGCATTTTTCCTACAAAATAATGAAGCAAAATACATTTCCTGTTACTCAAGAACACTACCATAAACTGGTATAAAACCTTTTTCACTCAGATAAGTATAATACTTATGGAAAGTGCCATTACTGACAGGAAAATGAACTGTTTGTCTTGCTGTGAACATGAAGTTCCATACCTAGAATAAAAAATGCTCTTCAGTGTTGCATTGCAAAGGGGTTCTCTCTGGTCATTGTATGTCTGCACTTGTTTATACTTCTGCTCAGTTCTATTATTTATCAGTGACAGGAGCTATCCCTAGCCTAATTTTCAATACAGAACGGAATTTAAATCTTGAGGCCACCTTCAGTTTTCTTTCTTCTTCCCTGTTGAAGCAAGTCCCTCTGGCCTCAGTCAAGACTCTAATTCTGCATCCACTAGCCATATCCTGAATCATCTTTATTCCCCACACACACGGCCTGACTCAGTTTTCACTTATCACATACCGGCTTTATCTTGATGTAATCCTGTCCAAATAGTAAACTGCTCCATTCTTTCCATTACACAAAGCACCACTTAAATGAGTTTAGGACTGTAAACTGGGTGCCGAAACTTTAAAGTTCAGTGCTATGAACACACAGAAGACATTCAGATCTCAAAATCACCCCACTTTCTTTCAACATTGTTAAAAACAGACACTGTAAAAGTGAAGTTTTCAAATAAGAAATCTTTGGTTTTGAATAGACAGCAATGCTCTCTCTGCATACTTTGGAATATCAACATGCAAAATGAATCTCAGTGTTCCCACAACAAAATGCCATGTCTAGCTTCTCTAGGGTAACACACCTACAGATTGGAAAACCTTACGCGTGGTGATTAACAACGCCACCGGTATTTCAGAAGAAGAAGGAACCTAAATCCTCACCTTTATCTTTAGACATTCCCATAACAATGAAGTATTTTAATAAAAAATCATTATAACAAACATTTTAGTAAAGGAATAGTATAGCAGTACTTACTCTGCCCATTTCTCGTAGCTTAGTGAGCATGACCACAATTGTTGAATTATGCTCCCAGAGCATTCTCCAGAAGTCTTCAGTTGTTTCTGCTAAAGGACCCTGTGTAGCTATGTAAGCTTTTTGTTGTCTATGTTAAAAAAAAAAGTAAATGAAGAATAATATTTTAATCAAAAATTGAACTGATATACATTGTATGTTTATATGTAAACATTGTCTAGAGGAAAAAATTATATACTATTAATAATAAGCACATTAAAACCTTATTATGATTGTTTAATCAAACTATGGTTTTTTATTTTTAGAACTTTGAGAGGGAAATTACTCTGTTAATATTATGATGTATGTCTTTATCATTATTATTTAAATTTTAATGCAACTCTAATAGCTCAATTTTGTGTGCTGTAAAAAGCACTTAAGAAACACTTAGTTGTGCTGGTTCATTTTGTAGAAATAACTGTCTAACAATCTATTAAGTTTAGGAATTATAGCATCTAGCAGTTTCTTTATTAACTCCTTTTCAACAGTCTGATGCCTCCAGCAAAAGGAAGGCAGGAAGAAAATTCAGGAACGGAGTGCCCTGCATTTCCAGGCCTAAATATCCTACTAGTAGAAACTACCACCAAGCTGTTAAAAGCTTCTGGATCAGCAGCTTTATAAGATGATGACTAATTCATGTTGTTCTTGCTTCTTTCAATCAACAGATACACCTTTGTGGATGACAGTGGAGACAGAGGTTGTTTCCAGTTACGAGCAGAGGCTCAGAAAATGATCTCTGTGGATACTGATACTCAGGTACAGCTAAACTGCCTTAGGGAAACTATACCACTTCTCCTTCATGCCTTTTTCTACCAGCTGCTTAAGGCAGCTGAGGGTATATTGCCCTGTGTTGTCAAGAAGATGTTGGTGGGCTACACAGCTGTTTATGTATAAAATGTTTTTGGTGGCTAGGTCTAGTCTTAATCTGTGTTCCAAGATCATAGGTTATCACCTTGACACAGAGAGTGTATCTCCTGTATGTTATTTCTATGTATCTTTTTAAGCAGAACAGTTGTGAAGAAACAAAGGTTCCAAATCACAAATGTGCTTAAAATCTCAATAACTTTCAGCATGTAAAACATACTGGGAGTTCACAATGGTTTAAAGGTAGGTAAAAATATAACATTTAAGACTATGTCATTTATAGAATTTTCCTGTATTGCATGGCTGAAAATCCAAACCTTTTATTAGTATTTAAAAAACCACCCAAACATGGCATGCACAGATAATAAAGAATACTAATTTTCAGTACTAAATTTTGCTATTTTCAATATAGTTACATAAACCATTTTGTAAACTTTTAAAGCAATCTACATGAGAACACATTAACATTAGTACCTGTATCCATCAATGAAACTGGCATTAATATAATCAGAGCCTTCTACTCCTCGGATTGGTTGCAAGCATACCCTTGTAGACTCATATGGCATAATATTGACAAGGCGATTTTTGAATTTATTACATGGAAGATTGGCACTGATGAATCTTGAAGTGTGAGCCTTAGAGCTAGCAAGACGCTGTTGAAAATAAATTAAAATAATTAAGCGCAGGTATAACAAAAAACCCCCAAACACACTATCAGACTTGATGATCTCTGCTCAGTATCCATTATTGAATAATTTCAATTTTGGATGCTTGCTTTTCCATAGTCTGTTGGATGACTTAAATATTTGTAAAGCTTCTTTTAACACCTTATAAAAGTTTAATGTCTGCTTCATTAATGTATATGGACAAATTTGAGTATTAAATTACACAAATACACATTTCAAGCTACTGAAACAAAAAAGGAACAGCAGGGTTAAACCACCCTCACTGAACGGTTCTTCTCTGGGCACCAATTGAGGATAGAATTGTACATTTTTCAAAGGATTGCCTTCCTAATTTAAAATTTTTGCCTGCCAATGTCTTATCTTTTGACTACTGGAAACAACTGCTGGAGGACAGACCAGCATTAAGTGTTACACCATTTGTTTTTGGTTCCCCACAACATAAAATCCAAGTACCTTAAATTCCAGTTCCATTCCTGTGACATTCTCGCCTGTTTCTATCTGTGTCAGCTTCTGGATATATGCATACAGGTTTCTGGCTGGCACTTCGGTATTTCCACATGTCACTGCTTCCAGCAGTGCATCGTGGATAAAGATGTATTGGTCCTCAGTTTGAACCATGTAATTCCTCTGTGCTCTCATTAGAGTTACGTGGCCATAAATATCTACAGTCTTTTCATGCTTTATTCTCTCTAACATGGCATCTATCACAATGAAACAGCCAGTCCTGCCGACTCCAGCACTAAAAGAAATGAACACAGGAGGGAAAACATGAAGGACTATTTCATGCATTGTGCTTACTTTCATGGCATTCAGGTTTTAAAGTTTCATAACACTGATTTGAACAGCACGTTTTCTGAATACGAACATCAGCTTTTATGAAAGAGGTTGGTGCCCTGAAACAAGTAAACTCGTTTAACACCTACTACAAGCAATTGAGAATGGTTTTATATGGGATCTTTGCATCTTGCAGCTTCAGGCTTGACTATAATAGAAATAAAACACATTGCAACATGTTCTAGAAATAAACGTTCTTAAAAATGGAAATTACTGGAAATGATGAATCCTCTAAGAATTCAAGCTTTATTTGTGACATGATTTCTAGCTCATTAAACATGCTGTTGTTGCTATTCTGTTTACAGAGATGAATTTACTGGCAAACAATAATATTACAGAAAATAAGTCTTACATATTTCCATTGTGCTTTTGAGGTAAACTTTCTATCCCTCTCCCAACTCTGTCAAAGGGGTTCCTATTAATGCAGTTTTTCCATCCTCTGCTCTTTCACTTAGCCTGACCGTACTGTTATTTTTTGCAATGCAGAGCCATGCCTAGTTAGCTGTGCTAGCTGTAGGCTGGAGAAATCCCCAGCTGGCCACTTCAATGTCTGTCTTGCATCTCTAGGAAAACGTAAGAAAGATCTGGAATGGCCAGAATCTGTACCAGGATGCTTAGGCATCACATTATTTCAATGGACAGATTATAAACGGACTAAAATATGCTTAAAGACAAAGCTTGAAATCACAGCATTGAATTAATGTCCAGGCTGGGTGAGTAATATTTTTCAGGCAGAGGCAAAGTTAGTGCTTCCTCACAGGTTCTAAGTGAAGTCAGTTGTTGATTTTAGGCAGGAGCTGAAGTGAAGTCACATCAATCCTGTTGAGGCCAAAGAAACTACTACTTCTTAGCTCTTCACAGTAAAGGATTCCTCAGGAACAACTCTGAGCTAGAGACTTTCTTTCCCCTCTTTGGTGGACTTGAGGGTAGAAGAAAACACGGGTCAGCTACTGTGAGCTTGGCACAGGAATAAGCCTTGATCACAAAATATTCAGTTGGATCTAAGAGAGTTAAACCTGTCTCAGTAATAGACCTACTTATTTTTATGATACCTGCTGTCAAAGTGTGCCAGGCTTTCCAGGATTCTCAGTCATTGCCTCCCTGTCTTAAAGGTGTCATCTGTTACATGCAGGGGCTACTGTTAATAACTCCTGAAGACAATGTTATGCAATCAGAAGAAGGAAGAAGAGATTTTCAGTTCTCACCTTGATGTGATTACTATTAGTCATACATGATCCTTTATTACATATTTGGCTTAACTGAACAGGAATTATGTAGAAGGAATATGAAAAAGATTACAGAATATAGAAGACCAGCAAATATAGTGAAGGTCTGAATATGCAACTTGTGTGCTAAATGAAGCGCTATTTCCTAAAATCTCTACAGGAATTCTTGTATGGAGATGTTTGGACATCAACTGTACTGAATCAAATCTTCAGATGGATAATTGTGTTTTTACAGCCATGTATATGACTGAACTTTATGAAGTTTTGTTTCAACTATTTGCACACATGTAGCTGTATAAAGCACAAGTGTAAAATATAATGGGTTTTGTATATCATTTTTATATCTGGGATCACATCAGTTCTGTGACAATGAATGATAGTTTCTGGCCTTCTAAATGCTTAACTGTTTTGAGTTAGTGACATGAAACGCAGTAGGTAGTATAGTAAGCGACAGTTTATAAACCCTTAAGACACTGACATTATCTAAGTTAAAAGGATGTTTAAGAACACCACAAACTGTGATTTTTTGAAAAGAGCTAGAAAGAAATAAAAATAATTACAACCCATCTTCTAGAGCACAGTTGCATAAAAAACAAGATCTTCTTACAGTTCCCATATTTTCATGAGATATTAAATATCATAAGTCCATCCTGAAGTTGATAACTAAGGGTAAGCCTTTCTTTCTTGCATGATGCTTTAAGACTCTTTGCAAGCAAACTGCATTTACTTACAACGAAATCAGAAAGAAGTACAGAAAGATGTTTTAGTCTCACATGACGTAAGTTTTGTTTCTAAGACTCCGTATTTACATATTGTTAATCATGTATTCTTGCCACCAGTTACTCTTCCCAGAAGCAGATCCCCTTCAAGCAGCTGAAGACTTCTGCTAACAGACCAAATGCATCAATCTCAACTTTCTTAGATGCCACTCTGACAAGAATTAATCAATACTCTGAGCTTAAGAAAACTTACCAATCAATGGTATTGATCAATGGGAGTTGTAGAGAAAGAAAATATACAGGCAAATGAAATGATGGCTATCCTAGCTAAGAGGGAGTTCATTTACCTTGTATTATATAAGCTCTGCATTCCAGGAAACCTTAGTGACCTTAACGTTGGCAATAATCGTGGAGAAAAACTCAAAAAATTGTCTCACTCTTGCCTTTTTTTTTCTTTCTTGTCTTGCAGAGAAATAACCACAAGTAGCACACACTTGTATGTCAGACTGGTTTATAAAATGTTTTTAACCAGTCCTTAAATGATACCTCTTTGAATTCAGTTTTTATTAGCCTAACAAGCGCTGACCAAGTTGTTGTGGTTTGGGCTGGACTCACCACTGAAACGAATGACAGATGCTCTCCCCCAGTGCAGATGTTCTTAGAAGCTTAGAATATGGTTCTCTTTCCTATCATGTATCAATGAATTAATGTTAAAGCACCATGTTTCTAACTGGATATGCCATTTTTCAGACCACACATTAAAATGTTTCCTGGTACCTACAGAGCACAACTGCAAAAGCTTGCACTTTCAGCTGGAACGAGCAGTTTTCATTTCTTCTCTTCACGTCTTGTATTATCATTTATATATTTATTCTTCCCGTAAGCAAACTCAAAGAGGAGTATTTATTAGCATACTGTACCACAGAAGACATTTGCTAGTTTACAGGTTTATGCAGAGGTTGTGAAGATGACAAAACCAGGCCAAAACACATTACTATGCACCAATGTTTTCATTGTAAGAATGAAACACTACACATTTATTGAGGCATTTGGCTCCACTGGGCTTCTGACACCCCCCTCTCCGGATCACTTTATCCAGTAAGATATTTTACTACCTTAAGGCGTTCAGGCCATTCCAACTCTGCCAACTATAAATCAGTTGTGTGTCTACCAGACTACCTGGTTTTGTTTCCAGGTAAAAATGAAACAAATGCTATGAATATTTTAACTTCCTTCCTCTTTGCCCCCACATACCTTCTTACTCCAAACTCCAATATCTTCCTATACAAGAACAAGAAACTATCCTGTCTTTATCCCCTGCTTCTCCTTCTCTTCTGCTACCACACAGACTTCTTAATATGGTACTGATACACTGCTGGGAAGCCACGCAATTTGAATCCTCACTAATATGCCACTGGAACACACAAAAAAATTCCTATTTACTTTCTGCTAACGATCATAATTCAGCTAATGAGAATAATTTCACAAATTAATTCTACACTTGTTATTGACTTTCTTGTCCTTTTGTTTTGCATCTTTTCGGTGGTACTGTCAAACTTAAAAGTTAAAAAAAATATTCTGTCACTTTGGCTAGTGAAAGATAGTTACGTTTACAAGCTGAAAACCTAAGCAATCTATTAAATAGGCATGCCTATTAGGAAACTGTTATTGCTTCAAGTATTATCGTTTGTCCTATTATAACATTTGTTTTCAATCTCTAAAAACATGCCTGACTCAGTCCCATGAGCTGAAACATGTTTAATGTCCTGTGATGCAATACAGTTGCAATTCACAAAAAGAAAAATTAAGAGGCGTAAGGGGACCATTCTACATTAAAATCACTGTATGGATGTGTTAAAGGTTGGCTTTTGTGATTAATCTGTAGCTGTTTAAATGATGACCCTTTACTGATACTTCAGTGATTTGGTAGAGGACGGCAGTTTAATTGCCAGTATTCACAGATCATTTAATTGGAAGAAAAGCCAGTAAAATATGGACCAAAAATCATTTTGGACATTCTTGACTCTTATCAGGGGAAAATTTTATTGAATATTACAGTTTCAGATTGAATGAAGCTTGCATTTATGAACTGAAAGTACATAAAATTGCTTGTGATATGGCAAACATATTAAAATGCCTGGATTTTACTGAGGAACTTGATATGATTAATTAGATTCCAATCCTACAGAAATTCTGTAGTAGTCCTGACAAGAGCAATATTTAGATTATTTTCTTCCTGTTAGGAAATTAGAACACAGTTGAAAATCACCCCTCTGTCCAAGAAGCAGCAAAAATGCCCCTATGAAACCATCAAACACCCTTTTGAAAGGATACATCTGACTGAAATAGCATAAAGACCTTGTGCAAAGAGGTAAATTTAAATTTCATTTTAGAAGAGATACTGGACTGCTTCAAGAATTCTGGTACTGGCTTCTAAGAGACCTTTGAGAATTGATCTGCAAGGGCACAATGACTTTCTTTTCTTCTCACTGTGGTTATGGTTAGATACCAGTAATTAAGTATGGTACACAACGCATTTTTAGGTGTAAAGCTTCACCAAACAAAAGACATTTAGCCATTGCATTTTCTTCATCTCTATGCTATGGATGCAGCCATATTTGTCACTGAAGTCATATAAAGCTTCTTAAACTGAACAAGGGAGGAAAAAGAACCCCAGAAAACAGGAGAAGATTTCACTACAAGTAGATAAAGCTCAGTCTAGAGCTCCCCAGATTTTTCACATGTAGCTGGCAAAAGCATAGGAGGCTCACAAATCAGAAGTCAGCCTTAGATCTTTCTTCCTTTACTGAGCTTTATGGAGATTTTCCTTTCAGTCTGTACGTTCTCAGAATTCTACCATTACCATAAAATCTTCAAATATAACTGCCCCAGATTTAAGCCAATTTTTTTTTGTAATATGCAACTGCAGAAGTGTAATAATGTTCAGGAAGTAAATCTGT